TTCTGATAACTTGGCGAAATTTCATGAAGGACAGAGCTAGGCTTGAAGCCGACCAACTTAAAATATAAGTACCAACTTAAAATTGAAGAATTATCTAAGTTTATCTTACGCAAGGTCCAAGTCGCTAATTTATTATATGGTAAAAAACCCGACGAAGCACTAATCCAAATTATCTTTCCTCGACTATTGCCGCATGTTCAGGATTATATTGATGTAAGAAACCCCAGCACTCTAGAACAATTGTTCGAGCTGGCGGTGAAATTCGAGAGTAGGAGGGTGACAGGTGACGGAAGACGGGGAAGCCTGGTGTTTAACAGTGGTAAACAGGCATATGTCCCACGCCATCCCCTGTATAGAAACAGCAACTTTATTGATATTAATAAAAGTATTTACAGTGCAAACAAGGGCTGATGCATTGTGTTGCATTGCATTGTGTTACATTGCAGTTTAGAATACATAGTAGTCATAAATTGTCGAGTGTATGATATAAAGAGAGAGGGTTAATCTTTTCTTAATGTCCTTCTTAATATAAATGCTTGAATGTCACTCAGATCTGCAGCAGTATGTAGCACTGAATTCATGCTGGTAGGAAAAATTAAAGGAATAACTATTAAAATCATGTAATCTGAATGGTTTAAAAAAAAGGAAAAAAAGAAAAGAAAGTACGCGTGCGAGAAGTTTTGGCCAAAGACCAAACGGACAGTTTTCGAGGCCATATGCGGAACAAACGAAAAAATCTTATAGCGAGAATAAATTTCAAGATAAAAAGAAAGGTGATCACCAAAATAGGTCGCAAGATGCAAAAAAAGGGGCAGTTTAGAAGGATTTAAACTAGGACGGGTAGCTGCTGAAAAGGGGGTACAGTCACCCCATTCGATAAAAATCCTTCAAAAGTTCAATTGAATACGGTGATAATAAAAAAATGTTCTTACCTGTGATTCACATTCGACTAAATAAGGTGCCAACAGAGGCTGTGGTCGATACAGGAGCGCAAGCAAAATTTTGTCCGAACATTTCTTTCGAAATAATTTTAAGAATTATAGGTTATTTAAAACTCAAAATGCCAAAGTTTTTGCAGCGCAGGCCAAACATTGTTCATGCACAGGTAAAGCGACGTTTAATGTGGAGATAAAGAATGAAGTTCAAAAATCCATATTTTTTGTTGTGCGAAACTTACAAGCTTCGGTAATATTGGGCGCCGATTTTTTAAAAACAGCTGAAGCCCAAATTAATTTTCAGATTGAAACCTTGCAACTACACATGAAGCCGCTGCAAGCAGAAGCTGCGGAATCTCCGGACCTTAACCTGGAACATGTGAAATCTGGAGACAGAAGAAAACTACAAGAACTGGTAAGGCATTTCTCTGATTTATTTTCTGAAACACCTGGCCTCACTCAGATAGTTCATCATGAAATTAAGTTAAATTGTGAGGAGCCCACGAAAGCCAGACCATACAGATATGATACAATTAAAAATAATTGAGGGACACATTCAGCATATACTCGAAAATAAAATAAGCCAATAAGCAGCCCTTATGCGAGTCCTGTTGTCCTGTGTAGGAAAAAAAAAAAAAAAATGATCTGCCTTCTTCAAATTTGAAGCCTGGAGGCTAGCTATCGACTACAGGAAGCTAAATAGCTTAACCAAATACCCCGTTTATCCTCTACCTATAATTGAGGAAGTGATAAGAAACATTAGGTCCACCAAGTACATGACCACCTTACCTCAGGGTATTTCCAAATAGCAGTGAAACCAGAAGATGCGCCAAAAACGGCATTAGTCACTAAATCAGGAACTTGTGTTTTTCTGAGAATGCCTTTTAGCTTATGTAGAGCCCCAGCGACTTTCCAATGTACCATGGACATTATATCCTCGAGAAATCAACCTGTCCTCGGGAAATCAATGTTTAAATCCCGACGATATAAATGATTAATAGGAACTTTGCTTATGGCGTGCTGTAAATCTAATTTAATTCTGCTATCTTACGGTAAGATGCATTTAGAGGTTTTTAAAATTAAATCTCTACGTCCTATATAGCTATTCAGGAAATGAAAAAAAAAAAAAAAAAAAAAAAAAAGATTTGTCTTAAAATTGACTGGTGTACCAATGTTTTCCTTGTATCCCTAAGATTCTAATGTTAAATTGTATACAGTTGTCTGAATAAGAATGTCTTATAATTATATATCTAAGATGTATATTTTATGTAGACTCTTTATTTTTCTAAAAACAGTAATTGTAACCCTGGTCACAGGAATTTTTATAGAACTGTGTAAAATTGCATGTCTGAAATCAATATTAATGGCTGAAGTATTTCTCATAGGACTGATTGCAAATAAGCTGTGATAAATGTATGACGTATGTATTAGAGGAAAAATTGTAAATCCAGACTATGTATTGAAATCTCTGTTGCACACTGGCCTTGTTTACCCCTGTATCTCTTTGTTTTAAGACTCAGTAATTGCCGTCTGATCTGTAACCTACCCCGTTGTGGTGAAGCGCGTAGTAGATAGCTTCCGGAGGCAGAAGCTTTAATCTGTGTAGACTGCTTACACACAACAACGGTAGCCAAACAAAGGCAACAAAGGCAACGGAGCCCCTGTTCTCTGGCGTATAATAATAATAATTGTTTCAAGTGAAAATATTGACGAACACGTAAAACATTTAAACAAAGTTTTTACATTATTAAGAGACGCAGGCCTAAAAATAAATGCGAGTAAGTGTAAGTTCGCGGCAGAAGAACTAAAATACTTAGGATACAAGATTTCAAAACGCGGAATTGAAACTCAAGACTCGAAAGTAACAGCGATAAAGAATTATCCACCGCCCGACACTGCGATAATATGGGCATTAAAACTACAAGCATTCGACTTAATAATTAAACACACATCGGAGAAGGAAAATATTTGGCAGACGCATTATCTCGAATAAAACTGGACGAAGAAGGAAAACAAATAAAATGCGCCATATTAAGGTATGAGATTCCAGGGAAAATTATTTCAGAGTTAAAAAACGATCCAGAATATAGGCATATTTATACATACTTGCAAGACCCGGATAATTTTGAACATCCGGATATAGTGGCCATAAGAAATAGTGTGTGTGTGTGTGTGTGATTATGGCAAAGCCTCGAAAGCTATCTGCCTAAGAGGAGGGATGCCTTCGTGGAGGACTTTCTAAGGGAAACTGGCTCGTATACACGTTACACGTGGGGAAAACCACGAAAACGCCCATGCAGCCAGCCCGTTCGCGGAATTCGAACCTCGGACCGAACTACCAGTGTTCAGCGACTTTACCGCTCAGCCGCTAGTGGGCACCATAAGGAATAGAGCAGCAAACTATGAAATAGTTGATAAACTATTATTTTTATACTAAAACAACAAATGAGAATAGTGAAATAAGGCCAGTCCTTCCAGCCGGGTTGTGACTCAGTATTTTAAAGGAATTGCTGACACAGCTACTGCTGGTCACCAAGGCATTCGGAAGACAGTACAAAGAGTGCGCGAGGCGGTTTTTTTTCTCGCAACTTAAAAGAGTGGTAACCGAGTATGTCAGGTCCTGGCATACATGCCAGTTAGTTAACGATGTAACTTATAGCCCGGCCGAGTATCTAAATACTATAAGAGCTACTTTTTCAAATGAGGTAATTGAAATAGATCTGCGGGGCCCATTTCCAAAAAGTGAAAGTAATAGAAATAGATATTTACTAGTTATAGTAGATCATTTCTCAAAATAGTTAGAAATAGTCCCCCTTAAAAGAGGCTCAGTGAAAATTGTAGCCGATTCTTTTCTAAATAAATACATTTTAAAATATGGTCCACCACATAAGGTAATATCGGATAACGGCCCCCAATTCGTTAGTCAAATTTTCGAGGAGCTATGTGCAGGGATTGGCATCCGCCATCTTAAGGTGGTTTCTTAAAGACCACAGTCAAATATTGCCGAGTGCGTAAACAGAAACATAGTTAAAATCATTCGGAGCTATGTAAAAACGTATCACCGACATTGGGATGACTGTGTAAATGAACTGACGTATGTCCTCAGAGCGGCCAACTATGATACCACGGGAAAGACACCTTGTGAACTCTTTTTGGGAAGGAAGATAGGTAAATTAGATAAATTATTTTTTGTCTAGAAAAGGGAGGCAGAATTTAAGCAAAAGGATATCCAAAAGTTAATTACCGCTTAATTTCAGAGGCAGCAATTTGTAACACATAGCTTGTAAATTAGGTTCACAGGTTGTAAATTGGGTACTTTATCATAAATGGGTCCCTGAATTTTGCGCAAGATTGTTAAAGCAGAAATATTAGATTCTCACCTTTGTAGATTCTGCCTAAACCTTTGTAATCCATCTGATCGGAACAGTTAAACACAACAACATATTTTCCCAATGTCTTGCCCATGTCTTTCGTCGTTTCAGTTTTTCCTGTTCCAGCTGGACCCGTTGGAGCTCCTCCCATATTCATTTGGAGGGCTTGAGCTAGAGTAATATAACACCTAAAAGGGAGAGACATCTCATGAAAATAATTGTGATACCGTATCAGATTACTAATAAGTGGATTAAAGGATAATGTTCTTAAACGAATGCTTGCTATAAGTATATGCAGACTGGCAAGCATTGCTTGATAAGAGGGTAAAAAAGCAAGTTAGATATAATTTTTAGTGCTTTATCTTAACCCCCATTTAGCATTACAAATTTAGTTAAAAGAAATCGATTTTTTTTTCATTCCATCAGAAAAGTATTTGTTGTCAAACGCTTTAAAATTTGCATTTAGAACCAAGATAATACCTTTATTCACTAAATTTTTTCCCTTCTTTCTTTCTTTCTTTTTTTTTTTTTTTTCAAGCTTGTGGGAAAGCAAACATTGCCTCAGGTATAAGCTTAGAATGGATGAGGAATCAGTTCTATTGTAATTAATGGAATTTTATCACTGAGAGGTTTTTTTTGTAGAAGCTGTGTCTTGGTTAAAAAGCAGATTTTTACGCCTCTATTTCGGTCGCTTTTGCTTCAGTTTCCCCCTAAACGGTATAATTATATTCCATTCTAGTTCTGTAACCAATCCTTTAACATAAACTGTTGGACTAACTGTAACAACAAGACTGCCCTCTGAGGGCCAAGGCTTGCACTTGATAGGTTGTACCAGACTTTTGCTCTGTAATTTTTCTTAAAGTTAAACGTAATGTTCGTGTGTAACTTAAACCTGTTAATAAATACTTGCTACACTATACAGGACTCTTCTATGACCCTATTTAAACGACCCCTTCAAAGTTCATAATTTTTCATTTTCTCAAGTAACTGATCATGATGACACGTTAAAACGGTCCCCTCGGACAAAAGAAAAAAAAATCACGCATTTTCAAGCTTGTGGACGTGGTTAATGCCTCTTCCAGTACAATTTAACAATTTTCTTTCTTTCTTTTTTTTTTTTTTTCCTTATTACGCGCTTCCCCCTTAGGCGCTACACGGAAGGAGAGGGATGCCCTGTGGAGGTCTTTTTAAGGGAAACTGGCTCGTATCCTCGCAACACATGGGAAAAGCACGAAAATGCCCATGCAGCCAGTCCGTTCGCCAAGAATCGAACCCCGGACCCGACTGCCAGTGTTCAGTGGCTTTTACCGCTCGGCCATCCATTTCCTAAAATGAAAATGACTGCAATGGAATTCATCTTTTTCCATTTTTGTTTCTGCTGCCGCAATGTTTGCTTCATTCTTCCGTAGAACAGGAGAATGTTCCGTAACTGGTCGAAATTTGGATGGACTAAGCTGTTATTTTAATATAGGCACTTCAATGTCACTGCGAACATACCCCTTTCAATTCGCAATAGCAAACTGTATAGCAATCACAGCCTAGAATTTACTTTCTCAACGTCATTTGAGACTTTGCAGAGACATTACGTATTTTTAATGCGAGAGACTTGAAAAATGAGGAATGCCCTCGCCGGGACTCGAACGACGGACGTCTCGAATACGCGTCGAGCGTGCTGACCACTACACCACGAAGGCATGCTAAGAAGGCGGAAGAAATACCTTATAACTTCACTTCAAGTCAGTCTTCATTTGCGTGTTTTTTCACGCTAACGGAAATGTGTCTGTGTATAGGGAGGATAAAGCGGTCGTTTTTTTTTTTTTTTTTTTTTTCGAAGCTGATGTTTTCTTGGTTACGAGTCAAATTGAGCAGCCGAAAATAACCTTGAAGTTCCTATTTTAAAATAACAGACTGTAATTTGAAAAATGGCACTTGCCAGCCGGGCCATAACCAAATGAGCTCTGGTATTATCTTTCAAAAATTTATTAAATAAATCAAATGGGCATATTATCTAACAAAAACTCTTTCATTTTTCTCTATGAAAATTCATGCGAATCCTAATACCCATTTCAGTATCCAGTTGTTTTTATACCATTGAAAAGGGTAAACAAAATACAGAATGCATAAAAGGACCTAAGTTAATGGATAATCGATTTAAAAGAAAAGCAAAGCGATTACAGGTATGGGAAAAGAAAATAAAGTGCATATTTGTTTAAAATTGGAGAGCCGTTGAAAATTCTGTTTTAGTTATAAAAATAATTTACTTACCTGTCAGTGAGAGGTGTAATAACTAGTCTCTCAGAGCAGCCTAGAAATTCGTTTTGGTAAATAAATTTGACATCCGTGATTGAAATCACTATTTGATCATCGTCAGCTTCGAAGTAAAATCGAAACTGTTTCATCCATTCGAAATCTTTAGCGGATTTTATTCCTAACCGACACTGGAAAGAAATAAAAAAGGCTTTATAATTACAGAAATTACTCTTTATTTCAAACGTGTACTAAAATTATTATAAATTATTCTAAAATTCTTGGACAAATATCGAAAAACATTTTATGTTGGGTACACTGAGATTCTTAATAAAGATTTATTTATAATCTGCTACAGCAGTCCTTTTGTACTACTTTAATTTATATTCATTAGCCCAAAGAAGCTTTAGCTTTTAGAAGTGGTATTAGTCTCGAAACGGGATTTAGCGTTAAATCACTGTAACAGAATGAATCACTTTTCAAATTTTTGCCACCAAATATTATCGCCTTGTAATATTTAAAAAGAAATGAAATAAAAGAAGAATGTGCATGAATGTAGGTATGTTTCTCGCATTATGAAAAAATCAACGGTATCTACATCCATCAAATTTTAAATAACGTAATCCTACACCCGAACCTGGAAGCCCGAATTTTAAATTTCAAATTGTTTAATTATCTATTTCACATTTTGTAAAACATTAACGAATTTTTTAATTAACAATCTCGAGACTGCCGGAAATTTTAAAGATATGCTGTTTTTTCAAATATTTTGTGATATTGCTGTTAAACTTAATTTTATGCTGTTATTGCTGTTAAATTATTTTTTATAATTTGATATTTATGAAACGATAAAGAGATCTATTCTCTTGTGTTCGAATTGTCATGTTTCCTTTTCACTGTCCAATGTATTTATTGCATATGTGTAACCAATTGATGTATATCAGGGGTTCTCAACCGGTGGCACGCAAGAGAAAAAAATAGGTGGTACGCAAAGATGCAAAGTATTTTTAAAGATTAAATTCAAAAATCAAAACCCCAACATTCTGATTGAGTTTTTTCTCTAACAGTTGTAAATTTATGCGATCTGAGCTTTTGTTCAAAAGTGGTGGTGGTAGTAGTACTTTATACAGAGATGTTCGCACATTTTTTAGACGATTTTGGTAAGCGGTAATAAAAATTTGTTTACTGCAAAAGAAGTAATTGCAATTGTACTATGTTTTCAAAAGTCAAGATTGTCGTCTGTGGCTTGAAAGTTTTGTTTTTATTCAAAATGGCGAATTTAACAAAGCAGGGTTCGAAGGCTACATTTACGCTCTTTCCGAAGAGATGCGTACTCCGTTATCCAAAAACGATGTGAGAGTCATGGTTTTGTGATATCTAAAGCGTCTATAGGTAATATCATCAACAAGAAAGAAAAAAAAAAACGTCAAATTGGAGCCTCAAGTGGGACAAAAATTCCAAACAAGTATCCAAGGAAAAAACGGACATCTTCGACTATTGCAAAGGTACGTTGTTTAATGTTAAAAGAAAATCCCTTTAGTCAAAGCACAGTTGTAAAATCATTAAAAAGCTCGGTGTCTACTGTAAATAAGATGATAAACGTTGATTTAAATCTTAAGAAAGCGAAAAAACGCAATGTGCATCGTCTTCTTCCAAAGCATATTGCTCAATGCAGGACACGCTGCAGAATTCTATATGAGAAACACTTATCCAAAGAAAATGGAAAACAGTTGTCACAATAGATGAAGCATGGGTGTATTTAAATGATTGTATCAAAAAAAGAGCCATTTATTATCATAAAAAGGGAGAAAAAAATTTAAGTACATGGTTCAAAGAATCGAAAGAAAGTTTTTCTCTATGGGATTCATGATTGTTGCTGGTTTTTCTTATAATGGCAAGTTTAAAATAAAGAAAGTGCAAAAAAATGTCAAGATTAACTCTAAATACTATCAGGAACATATTTTATTTGAATGAAATACCATCGCTTTACCCACAGTGCCTTCCATCTGTGAGACTCTATCAGGACAAAGCTAGCAGTAACACATCAAAATCCACTGTAAATTTCCTAAAAGAAATGGAACAAAAATCTGGTACCGAGGCCATAACCTTCACTGATATCCCTACTAAATCTCCTGATGTGTCACCTATGGATATTTGAACTTTCGGACTTTTAAAAACTGCATTATCCAAACGTTGTCCCAAAACCCTAACAGGACTTTGGAAAGCTGTTCGAAAGGAATGAGATAGAATATCTCTTCTGCCACTTCAAAAGACATTATTATCCTGGAAATTGCGTTGTCGAAAGATAGTTCAGAATAAGCGATGTCAAATAGAACATTTAAAACACAAGAATTTTATGTAATTTAGTTTTGCGAATGCAATATACATCGTCTAAAAAATGTGTAAACAGCCTCAGTAGTAGTAATACTGAATGTTTTCAGTTTTTGTTTAGATGGTATGCGTTAGTCAAAAGGTTGAGAACCACTGATGTATATTGTATTCTTGTCTTGTTCCGTGCTTGTTTTTCTCCATATAACAAATGCCGAATTTCACTTTTCGCAAGGTTCATGTTTATATTCGACAAATATATAGTGCACAAATCATACACTGAATGATTGCATGATACACATTTCCAAAGTTTTAACTAATTGCAGTTTATTGGTAAAAATAAAGAAAATAGATAACGTAACATTTTTTGTTTCGTGATTTTTACTTAACTTTGTTGTGATCTTAATATTCTTGATTCAATTATCGTAATAAAAGGTATCATTATTCACTCGCTGGAATTATGCAGTGTTATTCATCATGTTTTATTTTCTGTTGTAATGCAAATAAATTTGAAAAATTCGTTACGAAAAGTATCTTCGCAGAGACACCATAAAGCAAAATGGAAGAATTTTAAAAGTTAATCCCGCCGAACAGATGGTGGAATCTGTTGTACCGTTTCTACGTGATAGACTGACTCTGAAGTAACTCGCAGTAGAATGCGGCTTGTTGTTGTGTCCATATTACAAAAAACAAAGGCTACCAGAGCCTACTCCGCCTTTTTAGCATGCCTTCGTGGACTTCTATTTTCCACCCCAATTTTGAAGAAGAGCACCTCGCGACGGGAACCGGGGGCCTTCCACCCCTCTCTACTCCTACCAATCCACACAAGAGAACTTTCGGCTCGCCGCATATTTAGAATGCCGCCATGTCGCACCGACACTCTACCTTTACAAATATCCATGTCATCTCCGGGATTCGAACCTGGTCCCATCGGTACCACAGTAGGCTCGCCTAACCACTATATCGTCTGGGTGACGGAATGTGGCTTTTGTACAATTATTAATCATTATGATCTAAGTTCTAATAAGTTGCTAAAGTATAAGATTTTTTTTAAATTTGATTTTCATTTAAAACAAAGAACTGTGTGTTATTGTGAGAAATTTACCTAGAGTATAAGGTTCTTTGAATATTCATTATGTCTATGTATTTCATAGTTATTTTAGTGTTATACCAAAGAAGCCAAATAAGTAGGAAATTAAATCTAGTATTGACTTATTTACGAAAAGAAAAGATTTTATTGCGGCTGTGTTAAGAATGTTGAATATCCGAGCTTAAGGGGTATCAGCAACCCCTATACCGAAAATGTTAAATTGGCTATTTTCGATGTACCTTTTCTCAAAATCTGTTGTAGATACACTCTTGAAATTTTTTGTGTAATTAGCCCACCAGCGGCCGAGCGGTAAAGTCGCTGAACAGTGGTAGTTCGGTCCGAGGTTCGAATCCCACGAACGGTTTGGCTACATGGGCGGTTTTTGTGGTTTTCCCCATGTGTAACGTGTGTACGAGCCAGTTTTCCTTAGAAAGTCCTCCACGAAGGCATCCCTTCCCTTAGGCAGATAGCCCTAGTGTGCTTTGCCATAATTAAATAAACTAAACTTTTGTGTAATTAAAGTATACCTATCTGATTATACCGAAATGAGCTTTTGAAACATTTTGAATTTTAGAGTAATTTACGGAATATTTTGTTAGATATATTAAAATTTAGCACATTTCTCACACACACAAAAAAAAATTTTAAATTTTTTTTCTAAGTTTATCACAAAAAGCTCATTTTAGTAAATATTAGGTAACCTAATAAATAAGCCATAAAAATTTTAGATACCTGTGAGCAGTAGTTCCTGAGAAAAGGTACATCGAGTATAAAAAGTCACGTTTGGAGAAAAACGCTTTTTTATGTAAAAACCCTCATTAATCAAAGCAGTCGAAGACAAATTAAAACTAGATTTTTTACAGTTCTAATTTTCATACAAATTAAAGAATGGTATTATTAGAAAGATAAAAGTTTAGAGAATTTGAAAATGCAAAATTCCGAAATCACAATTTTTTGAAGATTTTGGGATTCCAACACCCCTTAATAAATATTACTAAAGCTTTTATTACATCAATATAAAAATTGGTCTTTAAAATAATTATTTAAATATAGGTGCTAAGCCTGGCATGGTTTCTTAAGGGATAAAAACATTCTTCCCGTGATTTCTTGTAATTCGTAATCAGAATATTAAGCTAGTTATTTAAGAATTACAATTTCGACATCGGCAGAGCAAACAGTTTATTTTTTAGTAGAATTATTCTTACTTTGAACTCATTCTGCTATATTCCGTAATTTTAGACAGAAGCTAAATTTTATCATTAGAGAAAGGAGGGAATGTTCCCCATACTGCCTTTAATGTGAGATCGCCTCATATGTAAGAATATCCAGCTTTTCAGAACATGCTTTGTAAGGAAAGAAAACCTTCTATGTAAAAGAATATTACATATATGTACCCGTTGCATCGAGGTATTTAACCCCCCCCCCAAAAAAAAAAATTACATAGTCTAAACACTGTATTTTAAGATAGAATTAAGTTTTATTTAAAAAATTTAGAATAAACGATTATTTATCTCAAATTGTTTGAATGTGAGGCTAATGCATGTAGCATAAACATTTTTCGTTTTATCATAAAATATCGTTTTGCATATTACCCAATATAGTATATCTATTTAGAATTACGTTTATATATTTATTTTTACGTTTTCTGTCTTATATTCATTGAGTGATGAGTCATATTGATTATTCATTCGAGAGATTTAAACTATTTTGATTTTAAGTTTTTAAATTACTAAAAATCTACACATTTATTAACTTTTTCTTTAAAATTTAATC